CGACTGAACGGAACAGTAAGGATCCGAAAAGATAGGGACACTCGTCGTTGCCTCTTCGTCGTCTCTGCCTATTCTCCCACTGACTGCAGCTCAGATGATGTAAAAGATGAGCTTTACAGAAAGCCCTCCTAAAAGCTAAGGGCTCGGATGTAGTAATAGTGGCCGATGACTTTAATGCTCAAGTCGGTAAACTAAGCGATAGGGAAAGACACCTGGGCGGATCTTATGGTGTCATGGCTCAAAGAACAGATAATGGCGACCGTCTGTTGCAGCTATGCTCAGATAACCGCCTGTTTCTTGCAAATAATAACTTTAAGCATAAAGAAAAACATCTTTTAACATGGCGACCCCCTAATTCGTCCCAACGTTGGACCCAAATAGATCACATCGCTATCAGCCACCGATGGAGGGGCTCAATAGAAGACTACCGCTCATTCTGGAGGACATGCCTAGATTCAGATTATGCTCGGGTGAGTATTTGTCTGCGTCTTGCTGGATGTAGGAAAGACGCTGCAAGGAAACCTCTTAGGACCCTACTTAATGATAGTCATGCTGAGAGTATAGTTCAGGAACAACTAGGAAAACTGTTAGGCAGCCTTGTATGTGATGCCCACCCCGATGCAGCATGAGATGATATCCGAAAAGCTGTGGAAACAGCAGTGATATCTGCTAGTAAGGCAAACCAGAAGGTTAGGGAGCAACACTGGATCTCAGCAGCATCTACCACTGTGATAGATGCTCAAAAACCCATTCCATCTGGCTCTGAGCATAACGAAGAGCAGAGCCAGCTTAAGCGCAAGCTGACAAGAAGCCTACGCAATGATCGTAAACAGTGATGGGTAGCGAAAGCAAGACAGATGGAAAAAGTAGCGGCAATAGGTAACATCAGACAACTGTTCAGACTTGTTAAGGAAACCGGTATTAGGAGCCCGACTGTTAGCGAAACTATCTAGAAAAATGATGGACATATTATACATTCTCAATCCAGGAGATTGGATCGATGGGCAGAACACTTTAGGGATCAGTTCAACTGGCCTTCAGCCACATTTCGGTTTCCCACGATCTCCAGTCAACCTGAATGGCAAGTTGATGTAAGTCCTCCAACCCTTTACTAAGTTAAGAAATTTATAGGAAATCTGAAGCGTGGGATAGCAACGGGCCCTGACAGGTTTACTTTTGAGAGTTTTAAGGATGGTGGTTCAGTATTAGCAGCGAGATTGACTGAGGTCTTAGGGAGAATTTGGGAACTGGACGTAATCCCATCTGACTGGTCTCAATCATTGATTGTGCCAGTCAATAAGAAAGGACAAAAGTCCTCTTGCAACAATCACACAGGAATCAGTTTGACTAATATAGTGTCTAAAATATTAGCTTCAATAATTCTTCGCCGCCTAACTAAAGCTCGTGAAGAACAGACTAGAGAAAACCAGGCTGGTTTCCGATCTGGACGTGGTTGTATAGACCAGATATTCACACTACGTCAGGTCCTGGAACATAGACACACATCCAGACGCCCCACAATCATAGTATTTCTCGACCTTAAGGCAGCATTCGACCCTGTTGATCGTGAGGTTCTATGGCAGTGTTTGTCACTGAAAGGAGTACCAATGAAGTACACTAACCTTATACAGGTTCTCTTCTCGAACATATCTGATCGAGTGAGGACTTATGGCGAACTGATTACCTCAAGTGGTGTTCGTCAGGGCTATCCACTCTTTCCATTCTTGTTTAACTTTGTCCTTGACGTGCTTTTAGAGATAAAAATTCTCACATCTGACTTTCCAGGGGTTAAACTTGTACCGAGAGATTCACTTGTTGACTTAGAATATGCTGATCACATCGTTTTATTTGGTGAAGACGCTGACAAAATGCAGTCTTCTGACCACTCTAAGCAACAATGCAGACATGTTCAGGATGCGATTCTCGCCCTCGAAATGCAAAACGTTGCTTCGGGATTGGGTTGTATCGACACCCGAATTAATTATAGGGAGTGAAGTAGTTGAACGTGTCGATCGCTTTACTTATTTTGGGAGTCTCATCAGCTTTTGTGGTCTGATGTGTGACGAAATCTCAGCACGGATACAGAAGGCTCGACTAGCTTTTACCAACTTGCGTCATTTATGGCGTAGGCGAGATATCCGTCTATCGACCAAAGGACGTGTTTACTGCGCAGCAGTTCGTTCCGTCCTACTTTATGGCAGTGAAACATGGCCGGTAAGAGTAGAGGATACTCGTAGGCTACTAGTATTCGATCATAGGTGTCTTCGAAACATTGCTCGTATATCCTGGGACCATCGAGTAAGTAATGCAGTTGTTAGGAAACGGGTACTAGGTAAGGATGACAAATCAATTGATGACGTAGTGAAACTTCAGTTGAGATGGCTGGGACACGTGTTACGTATGCCCAACCACCGACTCCCTCGACGTGCGATGTTCAGTGGTATAGGAGTAGGTTGGAAGAAAGCTAAAGGCGGCCAGACCAAAACATGGCACAAGTCCATGAAGTCACTGACAAGTGGACTGAGCCATGTTGGTGGGTGTAGACTACCCTGGTTGGGGACCGCGAGATGATAGCAACCGATGATTAGAGACTTTGAATGACATGGCTCAAAATTGCTTGCAATGGCGCAGGAGCATACACTCTTTGTGTTCTCCCAATTTCTGATCTCCTTATTCCTCCTTGTTACTTTTTTTTCTCTTCCCAAATTTATTTCACTGTATTATACTCTTTAAGTAACATCTCCAAACACTAATCTTCCCGATTACTGCTTTTACTCTTATTACCTCTACCAGTACGGGATTTGAATCGACAACTGCATCTCTGTGCTAAGGTGGTGTGGCAACTCGAACTGATGTACGTACTTATGAAGTTCTACGTTGTTACTGACTGACTGACTGACTTTGGCTTTGAGGATGCCATGTGAGGGCTTGTCTTGTGACGCAGTTGAGTTCTTTCCCCAATGTGTGCCCTATCCACTTCCAGAGCTTCTTTCTGATTTCCTCCTCCGCTGGGATCTGGTTTGTTCTCTCCCACAGTACGTTGTTACTAATAGTGTCCGGCCAACGGGTCCGAACTATTTTGCGTAGACAACTGTTAATAAACACCTGTATCTTCTGGATGATAGCTTTCGTAGTTTTACTGGTTTCCGCCCCATACAGTAGAACTGCCTTGACATTTGCATTGAAAATCCTGACCTTGGTGTTGGTTGACAGTTGCTTTGAGTTCCAGATGTTCCTCAGTTGTAAATATGCTGCTATTGCTTTGCCGATCCGCGCCTTCACATCTGCATCAGATCCACCATGTTCATTAATGATGCTGCCCAGTTATGTAAAGGTTTTTACATCTTCCAAATCTTCTCCGTCAATTGTGACTGGATTGGTGCATGCTGTGTTGTTTCTGAGAATCTTGCCTTTCCCTTTGTGTATATTGAGACCTACTGCTGCTGAGGCTGCTGCCACACTGTTCGTCTTCTCCTGTATTTGTTGTTGCGTTTGGGATAGAAGAGCCAGATCATCTGCGAAGTCTAGATCGTCCAACTGCATCCTAAATGTTCACTGTATCCCGTGCTTCCCTTCAGATGTTGATGTCTTCATGATCCAGTCCATCACCAGGAGAAAGAGAAAGGGTGAGAGTAAGCAACCTTGCCTAACACCGGTCTTCACTTCGAACGACTTTGTCAACTGTCCTCCATGCACGATTTTGCAGTGTAATCCATCATATGAACTCTGTATGATGTTGACCATCTCAACAAATATAAGGTTATAGAAATACTTAGTTTAAAAATCGACTTGAAGTTAGTACTAACGTACACAGAAAATATTTACTCACAAATTCTTAAATAATTATTCCTTGTCTTTTCTCAAGACTAAATATATTTTTTTAAGAATGTTACTCAGCATTACAAAGTGCCGAGGTCCCTCGTTTCGATTCTAAGTGATATGCGTTTCCGGCACAACAAATATCAAGTAGCATCCAAACCACAAGGTGTATCACACAGACACAAATCAATTCATACGTAATCATTTTTATTTCAAATAACGATATTTTTAAAGACTCTCTTAGTATATTTCCAAATGCTAATTCGATTTCCGCAGTAAAGTTCCAGCGCTTTTTACAAAACCTAAATTGACAGATAGATGTATAAATAAAAGCAGACAGATAGAATAGCATACGTGTCGTTATTATTGCCATGTTAGTTTTATGATAATAAAAATTTCCGACTAGTAACCTTGATCACGTTTTGCGTGTCAACTGTTAGTCAAGACAAAAGGAAACTGTATATTTGCAAACTCCTCCGCATTATCGCATGATAGTGTGATAAATTTTACTACTAAAGATATTCTAATTTCTTCACATAACCTGAGAAAAAGGATGAGAACGTATTACTTACCATGATTGTAGGTGAATACAAAATATTTTAAAAATTTGATGCAGTATTTCGACTGTGTAGAGTATTTTGGTGAAAGACTTAAAACGTGTTCACAGCTTATCACGTGCTCCAATAGTAAGCTAGTGATAGTTTTCCAGTCTCGTTTTCAAAGCCACGCTGTGTAATGTTCTTATATGTGTTTCGCAAAGTGACCACTTCATGTGGTCATTGTAACCTATTCCACAAGAGCAGGAAAAAACTATGGATACACATCCACGTAGCCCAAAGCGGAAGTTTATCCTCAACACATCCGTGTATTTTAAGCCGGCTAGAGAAGACGACAGGAAGCCTAGCTGAATAGAAGGATTTATTCATAGGTTTTGGAATTCAGGATTTTAGCAGCCGTATCTACTTTAAATAATCTATGAAAAAGATTTCTGTCGGTGTCGCATGATAGAAAACAATGATAAGCGAACTTTTCGTGCCGAAAATAAGTCATGTTTGTTGAGAATACTAATTAAGAAGTGCTCACTGAGTAAGCGCAAGTTATAATATATATATATATATATATATATATATATATATATATATATATATATATATATATATATATAATACAATCTGTTCATCCGTAAAACAACACTGAAAATGTCTCCAGTCACTAAACACGTCCCACTCTTTGAGATATGAAGAGATTTCAAACATCCCTTACAATAAGTGTTCTTGTAGTGAACAAAACCTCAGGCACGGTAAATCAATTTACTATATTATGCAAACTCACACAGTGCCTTTGTAAAATATGGAAATCATACATTAAATATATAATTTGCATATCTTCCTTGAGTTGTCCGGTACTTCCTCCATCATTCTTCAAATTTTGTCGTCCTTCCGACTGCTCTCCGTTTCCCTTCCTCTGCTTTTCATTTAGGTCTTCTGCTGATAAGCATTCCACTTTCAATTTCTGCTACATACTACGTACACCTATCCACATAAGAAGCGTACAGCGCCTGCTGATGTTTTGTGTCGTCCATTCACGAGCAACTTTAGCGAATCTTTCTCAGATAATTTTATATCACAGTTGTGGAGAAAGATAAAGATAATCCCAATACCAAAGGAAGTATCTGGTGGTAAGAATGAAAAATGTAGACCCATAGCAATAACTTCACCTCTTCTCAAAACAATGGAAAAATTACTGCTATTCTCACTTCAACCGGCCTTAAAGAGTAGGTTTTCATTATCCGCCCGGCAATTTTTGTAAAATATTTTTTTAAAAATTCCCCCCCCCATTAAAAAATAATTTAGCGAACAACAGTTTTCAATAACTTCATCATCACACTATACAGTTATAAGTCCATAATTTCAATATTAACAATGATAAGATCAGGATTTAGATCAGATGAGGGAACAATCAAAGTGAGCATTAAAGCAATGACCATGTAGTGTGGATAACAACCAATCAAATTCTCGAGCAAGCCGTAAGCGAAGTAAGGAGAAATTTTAATAGTTGACTTCTCCTTCAAGTATGTGTTGATGATGTTATTCAGTAAAACAATGAAAGCTTCGTGATTCAACCATATGTCTCAGTGACCACACACCTCCAATGTAATCAGGTTTTACTCTGTTTCATTAAGTAACCTCAGTTGTCTAACGGTTACAATCTATCGTCACCACTTTTCCTGAAACAAGCGAGAGCAAAACATAACGCACTTTTCATCGAATCACTTATTGTCCACATTCCAAATCCATCGACAAGTTTCGATCATTTATCATCAAAGTTTAGGTAAAATCCACATCGTCCAGTAATTAATGATCGTTTAAGTATTCACAAGTTAATTAGGTAATTGTATTTATTCACATTTATAAGGAATCATTTTTACAGCATTACATTGATTTTTAAATTTATTTAAAATTGATTACCATCTAAACTAGAATTAATCCATTCTTCAATACAGTATACCCATTTATATCATCATCAGTAGGATTGTGAGCTGTTATATTGTCAATATTCAAGACTGAATACAAACCAGTCTTTGCTGGTATATGGAAATCTTTAAAGAAAAACATCGGTGTCATTTGGTCATATATTTTTTAGGATAATTGGACTGTGACTGACAGCCAAATCCAGAAAGCACGTTATGTCTTATTTGGTACACGTCATTTGAATGTACCTCTACTCTTGTGTTTATATCGACAATAGTATAATTCCAATCGTTACTGTTAGTGGTTTAAACATCATTTCTGTTGAACATAAAAGCTACTGTTAAGACTCAGTATTGGCATTAGATGTGAAGGGCACAGAGTTGATGTCACTATGTTGGCTCCCATCTTGTTTGAGAATCGTCAGCGAGATAAGTATTCATCTCAAAGTAGACGTTCGTTCTGGGAATCGAACCCACTACCTTACAATTCAAGCTCCTTGTGCGTTATTCACTGAGCTACTGTCACACGATAGCTACTAATTCACTCAGAGCGTATAATATTGATTTCAGGTTGGACCATTCCATTTTCAAATTTCGATCAGTCTTTGTTAGTTTATAGATATTACACCATATTAGAGTTAACACCTACTCAAAATAATTTAATGAATTATATATACATATATAAAAAAGCACCATCATAAGGAATGGATCTCTATAGAAAGACTGGACAAGATCAAAGAAAGGAAGAACAAGAAGACAGCAATTAACAACAGAGACAGTCCAAGCACAAGCTGAATACATAGAAGCAAACAAACAAGTGAAGAAAAGCATTAGAGCCGACATGAAGAAATACGTGGAAGAACTAGCAACGACGGCGGAAAAAGCTGCAACAGAAGGAAATATGAAACAACTGTACGATACAACGAAGAAACTAGCACGGAAATACAGTAAACCAGAGAGACCGGTCAAGGACAAAGAAGGCAGGTCAATCACTGAAATTCAACAACAGCGGAACAGATGGGTAGAATACTTCGAGGAACCCCTGAATAGGCCGGCTTCAATGAATCCACCGGACATCAAAGCAGCACACACAGATCTTCCTATCAATGTCAACCAACCAACGACGGAAGAAATTAGAATGGCCGTCAGACAAATCAAGAACGGGAAAGCAGCAGGACCCGACAACATACTAGCTGAAGCACTGAAGTAAGACATCGAAGTAACTACAAACATGCTTCACCTTCTATTCAAAAAGATTTGGGAGGAGGAACAAGTGCAGACGGACTGAAAAGAAGGAGAATTCATTAAGATGCCAAGAAAAGGAGATTTGAGCAAATGTGAAAACTACAGAGGCATTACACTACTGTCAATACCAGGGAAAGTCTTCAACAGATTGTTGCTGAACCGGATGAAGGATGCAGTAGATGACCAACTTCAAGATCAACAAGCTGGATTCCGTAAGGATCGGTCGTACACAGACCAAATTGCAACACTACGGATCATCGTCGAACAATCAATTGAGTGGAACTCATCACTATACATCAACTTCATTGATTATGAAAAGGCATTTGACAGTGTGGATTGGAGAACGTTATGGAAACTTCTGTGACACTACGGAGTTTCTGAGGAGATTGTCAACACTATCCGGAACTCATACGACGGACTACAGTGCAAGGTCATGCATGGAGGATAGCTGACAGACGCATTCCAAGTAAGCACCGAAGTCAGACAAGGCTGTCTACTCTCTCCCTTCCTCTTTCTTCTGGTGGTCGACTGGATTATGAAGACCTCGACATCTGAAGGAAAACACGGAATACAATGGACAGCTCAAAATCAATTAGACGATTTTAACTTCGCAGATGACCTAGCCCTTCTGTCCGATACACACGAACAAATGCAGATGAAGACAGCCAGTGAAGCAGCAGTCTCTGCATCAGTAGGTCACGGAATACACAAGGGGAAAACCAATGTCCTCAAATACAACACGTAGAACAGTAATCCAATCACACTTGGTGGCGAAACTCTGGAAGATGTAGAGTCCTTCACATACCTGGGAAGCATCATCGATGAACAAGGAGGATCGGCAAAGCAAGGACAGCATTCCTACAGTTGAAGAACATATGGAACTCAAAACAACCTTCAACCAATATCAAAGTGAGAATCTTCAATACGAACGTCAAGGCAGTTCTACTGTATGGAGCTGAAACTTGGAGAACTACAACAACCACAATCAAGAAAGTACAAGTATTTATAAATAGCTGTCTTCGCAAGATACTCAACATCCATTGGCCGGATACCATCAGCAACAGCCTTCTCTGCGAGATAACAAACCAGCTTCCAGCCAAAGAAGCAATTAGGAAAAGACGATGGAAATGGATAGGACATACATTACGCAAATCGTCAAACTGCATCACGAAGCAAGCCCTAACTTGGAATCCTGAAGGGAAGCGAAAAAGAGGAAGGCCAAAGAACACATTGCGTCGGATAATAGAAGCAGATATGAAAACGATGAATTACAACTGGACGGAGCTAGAAAGGATTGCCCAGGACAGGGTTGGATGGAGAATGCTGGTGAGCAGCCTATGTTCCTTCACGAGGAGTAACAGGCGTAAGTAATATATATATATATACATATATAATTGTGTAGTATGCCTCTATTCCTTTTTTCGGTAAAATAAGCAAATATATAAATGCTAAGCCATCATATTTCTCAAGAAAGTCTATACATAATAATCAGTGTTTTAAAAAGAATGAATCAGATGAGTACATATACATCACCATTTATGTAAGTAGATGAATAAGCATCTTAACGTACACCGAAAGATAAATAACTTGCTTCATTAATTTTCACATAACTTTGATATAGAACTGAATAAAATTACTATAAATAAAATGTAGATATGTTAATTGTGATTCAGTTTACATATTAACCTAAGTTAATTACCAACTATACACTAAGATATTAATTTCAGATTAAAAATTTCATATTCTACTGAATTTTTTAATAGGTTGCATTTTTGTAGAAAATATGATTGTATAAACTTGGCAAAAAACAATTAATTTAACAGTTGAATTCAAGAGTCAGTTGAAACTAGATCACCATGGAAGACCTAGAAGCACTGGTTGGCCGTTTCGTCTTATTGTGGGACTCCTCAGCAGTGCGCATGCACGACCTCGCCCCCTGCGAGATTCGAACCCAGGACACTCGGTCTCGCTCACTAACGCTTAACTTCTAGACCAATGAGGCGGAATTTCTTGATGTTAATGTCTAACTTCAACCAATCCACGAAATTGCGCCACCTTCCACTATTTCCTCAGTCAGTTACTATCTCATAACAAACCCGGTTGAACTCCACTGGTCAAAAGTTTCTCACTAGGATTCCAGGAAATACCTCTTAAAGCCAGTCACTAGTGAGCACATGATTATTATTATCAGAAGGGGGTTTTTGTGGAGATTGTAGTAATTTAATAGTTGTGTTCGGGGGTCAATTAAAGCTAGATCACCATGGAAAACCTGGAACCACTGGACAATTATTTCTGAATATTTTTAATATGGATAAAATACAATATATCTGATTTTAGTGAATTGTTTTCATTTTAATCAAACAGCATTTGAAAACCAAGGAATAAATGGTAAGACTATTTGAGTTTTCACGGATTCTTGAAGTTATGAACTCTCAATTTTCATATAGCCAATCAAGATAATCTTTTTGTGTTTGAGATTAAAATGAACGTGAGACCCAATTGAGAATTATTTTTGGTCAAGTTTCGGCATATAAGCATAAGGCGATAACCTGCATGCTACAGTTTTATAATGATCTGTTTTCTTCTCTGAGCTAAATAGGTTAATCATGAAGCTTTCGTTGTTCATTTCAACAGCATCGTCAGTATGAACTTCAGGCAGATATGAGGTATTCTAATTTGTCCACATGACAGACAATTTATCCTATTGAACTTAATCTTGATTGATTGTTGTTGATCTTTGACCAAATTCCTGATCCTAAATTTGCCCAGGAATTTCTTAGTTAGTTTATAACTTAGATCGGTTTAGATATGTTTGTTAATTGCTGATTGTTTAGAGTCTCAAGAGAGACGCAGTCAAATTATATTTCAGGACAACGACAGGCTGAATGTCAGCAATAACCAATCAAGATTAAGGTAGACAGGAAAAGTAGCAGATGTATGTGGAGAAATGCAAATAC